CTGTAAATCTAACGTGAGTCTGCAGACTTCCTCTATGCTTAGCTTCAGAACAAATGCTGTTGGAGAAAGGTAAAAGCCTTGCAACCATCTGGCTAGCCATTATCTGTGATGTACCAGCTCTCTTTGTCTATATAAGCAGGTTTCAGTTAGCAGACTTCCATGTGTCTTGTGCTGATATATTTACACACATGTATTAGTGATTTTTTTTTTTTTGTAAAAGCAATAAAACCCCATTGCCAACAGCACAATGTGTAGCATCTACTTTGTAATCTGTAAAATACTTGCTGACGTGGCCTGGAAGACAGAACTCTGCCTCTGTTGGAAGTCAAAAAAATGCCACAGACTTTTCCTGAGAGTAATCTTCAGAGCCTGGGAATAATATGTCAAAACACAAGCAGAGATAGAGACAAAATGGCAATAAATAAAAAGAAATTGACTGCTTAGCTCAGCTGTCCTTACTGGGCAGGATGCAAATGCTATCAATAACTTAAGAGAAGAAGGAAGGAAAAGGGCTGCATTTTTAGGCCACAGCGATTCTTATTTTGTGTCGCACATCCCTCAGGGAGTAAAGTAGATGACAGTATGTTTCAATCAGAAACTGGAAATGGCACTTCCTTAAATTGTCTCAGCTCTGCAGGCGTTTCAGTCTCTGCCCTGGCTGGGCTGCCTGGCAATGTAGGACATGGGCCAGGTGGAGTCTGAGCTGAACCGTTCATCTTCATCACCATGATGTCCCTGCTCATTGCAGGGGAGTTGGGCTAGGTGGCCTTCACAGGTCCCTTCCAGCTCCTGTGACTCTATGAGCACGTGCTGGCTGGTATTTATCTGCTATATGAGAAGCAGAATGGTATGTTTGCTCCTGAACAAATCCTGCTGCGTACACCGCAGCTCAGTGCACACTGTGAAGGGCAGCTGTCCAGTTAAAGGCAAACCAGCATCCCTTGTGCCACGTCTCTTGATAGCTGGGGAGCCTCCGTTTTCCATTTTGTAATCCTTAAGACTTGAAACTACTTAGGCTAAAAAATTCATTAAACTTTAATATAAAGCCCGTTTTAACTTCAGACTGTTTGCTTCCCAGAGATAATTGTTTGAGAAAATGAAGTGTGCTCCCCATGCAGCTTTTCTGTATATTTTTCACAAACTAATACTGGAATTATGAAAGATAGGGATAAGTACAGCAAAGTAAATTAAATAAAAATGCTGAAGCCTTGGGGAAGAGCTAATGCAAATGAATTGAACAACATACAAGCTCCAAACAGCGACAGAATAAGTTTCCTTCTGAGCATTGTTATTGCTGGGAGATGCCCAGGACACTTCCACCTTTGCTAGCTACAAACTCACCGTCTTATAAAACCAGAAAAACCATAAATATAAACTATTAGCACAGGCTACTGTCATATATTGTAGTTTTTACCATTCCTTTTCTTTTCCATTAAAGTTATTACCTGTAAAAATGTACCTCTGAAATGAATAAACAAAGTTAATTTTCTTTTTCTGTCACTGGGTGTCATCTGTTCTGGAATAGATGGAGAGTCTGGATTTTAAAGACTGTTTTGACCTTAAAGGCAGGGGAAACTTTATTTAAAAGCTTTTTATAAGGGTAAAGTATCTTATGAGTAAGTAAACCAGGAGAAAGAGAGGGAGAGAGCTGAATGCCAATATGATGAAAGTCATTAGAGCAGAGCTGCCACGGACAGGTGAACAGAATAACTGTTCGTTGAATAAGGTGCATCCAGTGGCCTAAGAAGCAAAATGAGATGGCTTTTGAAGAGTTGTGGGCAAATCTCGAATGTTTAAATGTGAAACAAGTTCCAAAAGCAAAAGGAGAAAATGATGGCCAAATTATCCGTTAAAATGTACTTCACACATCACACGCACGCAGTTCCTGCCTCCAGCTCTCCAGTGCCTTCTGTGAGCTTCTCTCTGTCCCCACCAGGCTCAGCTGGGGATGCTGAGGCAGGAGGAGGTCTTTGATCAGAGATTGTGACCAAAGAATGGAGAGAGAAGAATTTGGAGAAGGCTCCGGGGAGGCCTCGTGGTGGCCTTCCAACACTTGAAGGGAGCGGATAAACAGGAGGGGAACGGCTGTTTGTGAGGGTGGATGGTGATAGGACAAGGGGAATGGTTTTAAAGTGAGACAGGGGAGGTTTAGGTTGGATAGGAGGAGGAAGTTTTTCAGCCAGAGGGTGGTGAGGCACTGGCACAGGTTGCCCAAGGAGGCTGTGGATGCCCCATCCCTGCAGGCATTCAAGGCCAGGCTGGATGTGGCTCTGGGCAGCCTGGGCTGCTGGTTGGTGACCTGCACACAGCAGGGGTTGGAGCTGGATGAGCACTGTGCTCCTTTGCAACCCAGGCCATTCTAGGATTCTTCCACCACCTTTATGGTACCTGTTTTTTTATAGCCTAATTTGTGTCTGGCTTGAAGTTGATGAAAATTGTACCTATTTTGATGAGAATACAATGGTGTTGGCTATGAGTATAAAGTTAATAGGTCTGAAGAGATGATGGATTTTGAAATCAGTATCATTAGTGCTAATTGGGAAGAAAACTTGGAGAACAGAATTCTCCATGAGGAGAAATGGCAGGGCAATTGTAAATATTAGCAAATTTGAATAGCAATCTCTCTGAGATCTGTAATGTATCAAGATTTAAAAGATATCTGAAAGATATCTGGAAAAATTATAAGGCAGGTCAGTTAGAGGAAAATACAAGGAAAGCTGTGAAAGGCAGATGAGGCTTGAGTAGCCGAACAGCTCTCCCTTACAAGGAAGTTGAGAACTGTCACATCTTCTGCTTCTAAAGTAGCTCTTATCTTTAAGCCAACAATTCCCTGCAAAGCTACTTCTGTGGGAGACTATTAGTGAAGCTGGATAAGGTGCAGCAGTTGTATAGTGAGGACAGATGAAGATACTGTTGGGTCGTGCTGAAATGGCAGGTATCAGGCTGGAGAGAGAGAGTAATGGCATTTCTGACAAACTGATTTTCTTTCGTATTCTTCATTCTGTACCTGGACACAAAGAATAGTCACTCTCCGATGAAATTTTCTGATGACACAAAATTGGGGGATATTATCAATGGAAAGAAAGCTTGCAGTACTGAAGATTTGCAGTTTGTGGTCTTCTGTATGCTGCTGTCTATATCTGTAATGCAGCCCATGTACCAGGTAAGCTTCTGGAGGTTGTGGAGTCTCCTTCTCTGGAGATGTTCAACACCTGCCTGGATGCCGACCTGTGTGACCTGCTGTAGGGAACCTGCTTTGGCAGGGGGGTTGGACTCGATGATCTCTGGAGGTCCCTTCCAACCCCTACAATTCTGTGATTCTGTGATACTTGATGTAAAAAGAAGAAGTGTCAGGTCAGGCTGGCGTTGATGAGATTGTGAATTGGTGGTTTCCACATCACTGTCTTCTTCATTGATCTGTGGAGTCTGAATTGGGGTAATTGCCATCAGAGAGGTTAATCTGCCACTTCTTCACCACATGCCATCAGGCCCTGTGTGCTGGCTGATGTTACCACTTCTGCCTCTCTGCTTGCTGTGCTCCCAAATCTTGGTAGCCCCCCCACACTCATTCCATATGCAGCTTTAGATGATGTCACAAGATCAGTGATGATTGCTGTGATGAGCTGCAAACATGGTAGTGGGAGGCCACGACCTGTAAGCAATGCTGTCTGAAATGGCAGTCTTCAAAGTTCAGCTTTATTTCTGTATTTATCTGGATGTCTTCTGTAAGCAAGAGTTGATGAGCAGCAGTACACGTACGAGTGCAGTTTCTCAATTACATGAGCTGAGAGAATCTGTTTACAGCTTCCATTAAGCAGAGAATTAAATATCAAGAGGCTGAAGGTTATTGGTATCTCTGGTGGAGATACCAATCAACAAAAAACCTGAGGACATGATGCTCTTGGAGAGATAACCATAAGAGAGCTCTTTCTGGAGGGAGCACAGCATGGACTACGTGCAAACCATTCTCGTGGGGAATTTTAGATGTTATGCTTCTAAGACCTTTTAACATGGATGCAAAGATCCCATGTACTTTACTGGCCTGGGAAGCTTTGAGGTTTTCTTGTTTCTAAAGTGCTGGAAGTAGGCTGTGTTTTTTAAAGAGGCTGAATGTTTTGTCAGTGTTTGGCATCCGGTTGCAAACATGAGCACAATTCTTGTGTGTGTTACGTTTCTAAATAGTTGTGCCAACATCAATCTGTGCAGATTGCTCTTTTGCAGTGATTAAGTTACCCAAAGGTAAATGAGAATGAAGTTAGGCTTTTGCATACACTGCATGTTGTCCATATTTGTGTATTTTCCTGGAATCTGAAGTCTGAAAATCTGAATTATTTAAAGTGCAGTTTAATTCAAGTCATGAGAAGTTGACCCATTCAATGCTTACTGCAATACCAAACCTACGACCTGAGTAGATAAATAATATGATTATATGGCTTTGCTGGAGCCTATGGGCAGCTGCTGGGGTACTGAGCTTCTCCATGGACCCAGTGACAAAGTTGGGTCTGTCACGGAGCACAGATCTGCTGCCTGAGACACCACACCAAGGTTGTTACCTTGTGTGTTTTGTCTCCACCATGTGAAGGCTTCTCCCTTGTTTTCTACCTCTTCCTCATGTAGCTTGGTAGAGTTTGGGGCTCCTCTGTGAGGCAGAAGGCTGAGCCTCCTGGGCTGCATGTCTCTGTCCCAAAGGAAGCAACTGAGCCTGGAGGCTGGCTTTGCTTTCTCTTTAGGTATTCTGTAGAAAACGCCAATAAGCAGAATGCGTTGACTTGGAGGAAGTTTTTCAGCCAGAGGGTGGGGAGGCACTGGCACAGGTTGCCCAAGGAGGCTGTGGATGCCCCATCCCTGCAGGCATTCAAGGCCAGGCTGGATGTGGCTCTGGGCAGCCTGGACTGCTGGTTGGCGACCTGCACACAGCAGGGGGTTGGAACTGGGTGAGCACTGTGCTCCTTTGCAACCCAGGCCATTCTGTGACACAGCCCCTGCTTTCTCCCCTGCAGACCCCCCGACCGTGGAGCCGACCTTCCTGGAGATCCGGCAGGGCCAAGGCCGGAGCATCACCATGAGCTGCCGGGTGCTGCGGGCCTACCCTACACGGGTGCTGACCTATGAGTGGCGGCTGGGCAGCAAGCTGCTGCGCACAGGCCAGTTTGACCTGCAGGACTCCACCGAGTACACTGTCAGCAGCCTCTCCCGTGACAGCTATGGCGTCTACAACTGCAACATCATCAATGAAGCGGGAGCCGGCCGCTGCAGCTTCCTGGTCACAGGTAGGCCTGGCGGCATCTCGGAGCGTGGGGATGTGACAGATGCTGTGGCTTCGGGTGTCGTCGGGTGATGCTGCTGCTGCCTCATGTGGAGTGTTGGCCAAGATATGTCTTTCAAAGCAGGTTTATGGCTTAAAGCGTAAAGGTTTGGGTTGCGGGGAGGCTGGTGACAAAACAGGAGATTCAGCTTCGTTCAGTGGCTTAAGGATAAAGTTTTTTACGTGCAAAATGCAAACATCCTTCCTCCACTCACAGCTGTCTGTATTCTTTTGAAAGAGTCATTGAGAAAGCCATCAGGTAGCAAATTTCTTCCTTTCGAAGTTTGCAATAAGGCTTGAATTTCCTTTTCTCTGTTGGTATGCTCAGCAAGCTCAGAAACCAGGACAGGGAGACTGCTGTCTCGAGCAACTGCAAGCGGTCTATGTACAGTATTGTGGAAATGTGTTCCTTTTCTCAAGAGGCAAAAGGTATTAAGGTCACCTAATACACAAGATCACAGACTCAGATGTTGCAGTTGCAGATGTGCAACCCCTGCCATGATTTTACCGTGCCCTGGATTTAGACATACTTTATATGTCATTTATCTTCAGCATCCCCTATTGGATCTAAATGTTTAATAGGGATTTTAGAGACACAAGTCTTGGTTCTTCTGTAGGATGTTAGCTGATAGGAGTTGTCAACTCAGCTGCCTAATCCTGCAAGCACCCCTGCATGCTGCAGACACTGTGCCCAGGCTGAGGTCAGCATTAGGTTCTCCATCCCTCTGTGCTTCTTCAGACTTTGTCTAACAACTCAGGAGGAAATGAAGCATCTCTGTGAAGTGACCCAACTCTTTCCAAGATCTGAGGTGGACCAGAGACTCCTTGTTCACTGCCAGGCAGTGCCCTGCATGGGCCCTCTCTGGTGATCAGAATGGACAGCCCTGGACTCCCTAAGGGTGCCAGAGCAGTAGTCTTGTTGCAGCTTAAAATGCTTCCTGTTAGCTTCTTGGAAGGAGCAGTAGGAGAAGAAACCAGTAAACAATGACTTCAGAACATGCAACGTAGAGCTCTCCTAGAAGAACTGATATCCATCTCAGCTAGGATTTTATTCATGTTTACTGACCTTGTTCCAGCTACAACCAGATCAAAGCACAGCTCCAAGCCTTGTCCTTGTGTAGGAAAGTGGTTGTTATTATCAGTTTCACTGCTAGCAGCAGAGAGAGCATGGGTTTAACCAATGTCCCACAGAGCTGTTCAGCTCCTTGGCCCTGTAGTCTCTCCAAATGCTCTCTGGGATCTTGCATTGCTCATGTCCTGGATGTCAGTGTAGAACCTCTGTATACATCCATCATTTTTTGATTCAGCTCCCCACTATTTTTTTAAAACCCATATTGGTTTTATTGCAAAAAAATACTTACGAGCCTGATGGATCCTTTTTTTATCCTTTGGATGTAGTTGGTTGGCATCATGTTGGCAGGGATTCCACTGGGGCCAGCAGCACGCAGCACAACCATGGTGGGAATGCAGCGAGTTCCCAATGACTGCTGGCTCTACCTCTTCCTAAATGTAATGAAGCCTTTGGCTGAATGATCATTCCGAGTCGACACAGAGAGCTGCTTTCACAGCTGCTGACTTCACCAGCTCTTTGGAGTTTTATCCAGAAGGTGACTCTGAAGAAAACCAGAGAAAAAGTCTTTTTCCTCAAATGCGTAAATGCAGTTCAATTTACTCTTCATCACTCTTTGGACCCAAAACTGTAGAAACCTATTCTGAGGCAATTATTTTGCCAAGATTGGGGCAATCTGAGTGGCTTTCTGTGATTTATTACCATGCCAAAGCAAAGCACATAACTGAAAATTAGTACTAAAATGGTTTTATGATGCACTCTGTCTCGCATCCCTCTGTGCGCCTTGCTCATTTTTAGTCCATCCCATTATGCGAATTTATACTGTATGGCTGCATTAAAGATGCTGAGAGTAACCCTTCAGGTTATGACTTTGTGTTTTCCTCAGTCCTTTCAGGTTAAAACCCACGTGCTCATATTTAGTAAATTTATTTGCTGACACGTGGAGTTGCTGACACTGCTCCTAGAAAACAGCAGCAAATGTATTCTGCTCCCAAGTCCCATGAGGACAGATGAAATTAAAGCACTGGGAAGTGTAGAAGCACTGGAGCGAGTGTAGAAGAAAAATGATGAAATGGTAAAAAGGAAGCTGTGATTACAGGAAAAAAAATAGCTCACTTCCTTGACACACACACACACTGAAAAAAAGCAACAAATAAATAACCCATGGCAGGAGCCTGGCTTTGGGTTGCGACCATAGGAGTTGTCATAGCCCATTTTCAGTTGGTTTTATTTCCAGGGTTTCATGTCGGAGCAGAATGCTGCAATGCTTATGTTGCAAGGGCTGCAGAGAGGCATTGGTATGCTAAGAGAAGGCTTTTCAGCACTGAACTGAAAATGCCTGCGTGAAAAGATTTATGCTGGCCCTAGAATTCGCAAAACCCGTTTTTATTGCACTTGGGTTCTGTGCCAAATTTGGGAAGGTGCGAGTGAAATAAATCACATGTGCAAAAGAGGGTTGATTTATATCAGACGGGCCAACCTGAGGCAGATTTAACCTGCTACTGTCTTAAAAATAAATGAGAACGTACAAGCAAAATTGTGGGAAAGCAAGGATGAGTTCACACTGCTCCCAGCTTCACAATCTATGTATTTTATTCAGTGGTTGATGGCGCACATAATGCCCAAAGAGAGACGGAAAGAACATTTCAGACAGCGGTGATTAAAACCCTGCCAAGAGTGGAAGCAAACTGAAAAGAAAAAAAAAAAAAGGCTCAGATGCAGAAAATGTCATGAATGGCAGTGTCTATTCATAGGGCTTCATGTGTGTGGAGGAGGGACTGCGTGCAGGGCAGAGGCAGCGCATGCTGGGCATCACTGCAGGCACAGGAGCCGCGTCCGTGGGGAGAGGAGTGTGGGAAGAGGCACGTTTGGGGATTTGTTCTATGATATGATTCCATGATTTAAAGCTGTATGCACTCTTTCCACCCATTTGATCAGAGCAGAACTCTGAAGTCTTGGTCGCACTGCTGCCTGCCTCAGGCTGAGCTGTGTACAAAAGCTGTTGTCCGAAGAGTGACATCTAAGGGAACAACGTGTTGTTACGTCCACGCTGAATTCTTGCAGCTGTTGAGCTGCAGCTCGGTGTGTTTGAAAGGGCCAGGAAGGCATCATGGCATCAGGCATGATACTGCGCTCAGGTTACAGCACGAGATCTGTCTGTTGTCTGTAGCTGGGATTGATGGTGCTGTGTATGGGTGGTGTGATGCTATTCCAATGAATAATCGTAATGCTGGGCAGCAGTGACAGCACACTGTTGGTGATACTTCTATCAACTGATTTTTGCACAGGGAAGCCCCACCAGACTCATGTTTGGGGGGAGAGTTTCGGATACTTGTTTTGCGTCGTCGTTTTGGTGACTATTGTTTGTTTGTTTCTTTTCTCCTTAAAATGTCACATTAATTAATGAGACAGTCATTAATCATTCACTTATCCAGTCTTCTGACAGAGTCTCAGTGCTTCTGGATTGAGTCTGATGTCAATCCATAATCACCACCGTAGGGTTGACCATAGTTCTACCATAGGGAAGAACTGTTGGCTGCCAGCACGTGATCCCTCTGGTCTGTGCAGCATCAAGTTGAGTTGACAACAGCACTGCCTTCAACTTTTGCAAACATTGTACCACAAACATCATCCACAGATGGCAGGCACTGGAAATTGCAGGAATTTGGGTTATTTTCCATGGCCCTGTTAGCTGCATTAAGCAGTTCTACGGTGTAAAGTTTTATGGCTTCATTCATTCATGGAATGGACTGCCAAGGGAGGTGGTGGAGTCACCGACCCTGGAGGTGCTCAAGGAAAGTCTGAATGTTGTGTTGAGGGACATGGTTTAGTGGGAGCTATTGGGAATAGGTGAACGATTGGACTGGATGATCTTTTAGGTCTTTTCCAACCTTGGTGATTCTATGATTCTATGATTCTATGATCCTTTCTTGTTCAGAAGAGCCTCTGCACTGAGCTAAGGGACAGCAGTGTCTGTTGTTTGTAGCTTCCCATATTTCTGTATAAATTCTAATGTTTTAGGAGACCAGCCTGTCTCACCTGCAACACCAGCTGCAGAAATATCAGAAAGTATGGTTTTGCTCCACTTGAGGCATGTGCCGTCCTTTTTATCCTCACTTGTAAACAAAAACGTGGACAGAACAAAAGCAAATGCATGGGACCCGTTGCTCCCCATCAGCACCACCGTGCTGCCATTCCACCCCACCGTGCCATCGCCTTTGCCAAACCAACCCCTTCACTTCCAGAACATGCACATGGGGAGTGATAATTGGATGCAACACTCTACTTCTTTCTCTGGAGAGCCCCCTGATGCTCACAGTGAGCCTTGCGAGGCTGAGTCCTGTGATGGAGCCGTGTTCCCCACAAATGACAAATGAAAACTGGAAGAACATTCTTCCGTTTTCTTTTTCTAATCTAACACTGCTCAGTATTTTTTCATCTTAGCAACACTAACAGCTACTTGGATAAAAACTGTGCTTTCCATTGGTGGTGTCCCTTTAATTTTAAAAAATGATGGTAGGATGATAAGTGATGCTCACAGGCATGTTAGTGAGATAGCTGATGGTCTCTAGGAAGCTTGGGAAAGGCATTGTGCTGGAAGTAGAGACGTGTTCTTATGTTAGAACAACAAGTATTCACCTTGGTAGGTACCCTTCCCCTTCTCTTATAGTCATTTCTCTCACTGAGAATTGAGAGCTTACATTTGCTTTGTTCTTTGAAACATTAATCTTTTCTTTAACATGGGACACCATTCCTCCAGCCCGTTCAGTGCTGTTACTTTTGGCAGCATGTAACCCTGGTGTGACTGCAGTCTGAAGGAAACCAATCCAGTTTGGTGAATACAGAATTTGTCATATAGACTCAGCAGCAGAGAGCCTGAGGGCTTGTTGTTTTTA